GCAATCAGGTTCTGGAACAGGACTGCAATCCAAAACAGCCAGAGTTTACAGCTGGTGAAGGTGAAGAAGAAGAAGATCAAGAAGAAGATTACAAGGCAGTCTACTGTCAAATCGTCCGCAGCTGGAATCGAACCGAGTACTTGGGAATTACGAATCATGTTCACAAAGACTAATCCATAGACGCCGCTCGTTTGGGTAGACATATAGTTAAAGTAATTACTGCTTGGTTAAAGTTAGTTGCGTATCCTTTACAGGACTTTGCAGAACCAACCGCAGCATTTTTTGGCTGTTGTGGTTTTTCTAGGCGATATTACGTCCAGTAGTTTGCCATTGCTCCATTGCAACGCAAGACACAGGGCCCGCAGCAGGGATCGAACCCGGCACTCTGGCATTACGAAGTAATGCTTGGTAGTGAGTGCTAAAAATAAGAAAGCGTATAAACGAATTCATTGGCTACTTACTTGAACATAGAGAGGCACCAAGGCAAGAAGATCAATGATGTTCATCAATGACATGACAAACCTCAGCTTGTCGGGGGCAAAGATGAACCTGGTTGGGATGTACAAGTCAAAGATATGTCAATTCAAAGGTCAAATCTATGGTTACTGGCCAAATGAATAAAGCTTGCGGAAAAACCAAATATTTTTTATGTCAGGGGTCAAATCTTTAGTTAACTCCTTTAGTCCTAGACGTTTGTTGCTTTAATGCTGTCCGTTGTAAAGTATGTGTACTTTATAGTGATAGGTTTGACGTTTTAAGGAGAGTAACTAACATAGCAATGAGACGAAGAGTTAAAATAACAACTGGAAAAAGAATGAACCAATGTTATAGAAGAACTGAAGGGAACGGGTCAGGAAATGTATACCCCATACTGAGTAATCAGTAAACGCATGGCGAGTTGATTGGTACTGAAAGAGTTAAGGGACAGATTTATCGACCTAATGTAAAAGTTAGAATCCCCTTTGACATCCATATCAAATTTCTCAAATTTCTGGCTAAGGTTCAAGTTAATAAATTGGATGAAGGTTTTAAAAGGTCAAAAATGTGACATGTCAATGGTTAAATATATGGTTAATGATCAATAAATGAACAGAATAGTGATATAAAATGCAGACAATATTAATGGTCAAATCTATAAGAAAAGTGTTTGAACACATGCTCTGGTAGCGATGTACAAGTCGAGTAAGCGACTTTTTACCACACCAGGACATCACAATAAGCGATAAACACTCGGTGACAAAAAATGCCACCATTCGGATGAGGATCCCCCTTGAAGAGGTCCCAGAAATCCCGTTCAATGGTCAGGTTATATTAGGGCCAGCAACAGGCAGGATGGGGCTTGAAAATAATGAAAAATTGCACCCCACAAGGCGACGTGGTGATGTCAAAGTGGCCCCCCCCCCCCCCTTCCCTTTCCAAAAATGATACCAATGGACAAATCTATACTAAAAAAGGTGAAATAAAATAATTTAACTTGTCGTGAAAGTATACGTCAGAAATAGGTGAAATCACTGGTCAAATCTATGAGAATAATATCTAAATAGACGAACTCAGTAGAGATGTACAAGTCAAAGGTCAGCCCATCAATCATGTCGCCTCCGCAATAAAGGTTGGCTCCAACGGATCTCAAACACTGTCTGTCTCTTGTCCAGGTTTTTTTACTCTACGAGCCTGTTGGCCAGGCCGTGCTGCTGACGTCGCAGGGTCGGGCTAACAACGCGTTAACGCAGCGGTTCTCAAACAATAAAAAAACTATTTTCGAAAGTGGCGAGGGAAGACAACTTGTTGAACTAATCTTACCTGAGTATAAGCTCCAGAGTAAAAAAAATGGTACAGATGATATCAACAATTGTCAGCGCTTCATTTGCTGTCATCACCTGTGGGGAGATAAGTCATGCAACAGAATACGATCATTTTGTGAAGCAATTGCCTCCCCTACAATTTACACTAAGTGTAGATCCTTTAACTTAAGTAAACGTAGAAGCCCCACCCTGGCTTTTGCCGGGGGCCCTGAATGTAGCCGGGCCATAAATATGACATAACGGTTAAAAGTTTTTTTTTTAAAAATATATTCATTTTATTAGATCCGGTTTCGTCCTTCTTAGGAAGAATTTTTTTGTTTTTTGAAGCCCCACTCTGGCTTTTGCCAAGGGCCGCAATATAGGCAGGTCATAAATATGGCAAATTGTCTGACTGCGGTTTCTGGGACCTCTCCACGGCTATCCTCATCCACATGGTGGCACTTTGTGTCTTTGGGTGTTTATCGCTTGTGTGATGTCCTTGTGGGGTAGAAAGTCAGTCAGTCAGTAAAAGGGGTTTCTGAGACCTCTCCAGGGTGATCCTCATCCGCATGGTGGCACTTTGTGTCACCTGGTGTTTATCGCTTGTGTGATGTCCTGGTGTGGTACAAAAGAGAAAAGAGAGTTAACTAAAAGTAAACAGTAACAGACCCCTTTCCCACGTCTTTCATGCGCACTGGGTGCATAGGGCTAGACCTATGTTTTATAGACCAAAGGGTGCTTGGTGAGTGATGGGTCAGCATTACGCCGGCTGCCTTGACTTCCCAGGACTGCACCTGGTACCCACTCAAGGCTGGATTGACCTGGGAGCCAAGATAATTTTTGTAAAAAAGTTCAGCCCCCGTCAGAAAAAGAACCTACGACCTTCCGAACCCCAGGCAAGCGTCTCGCCGCTAGATTCCTTCAACCTATGTATTTTTTATAATTATTTTTTCTATATATTTTTATGAAATCGCTATCTCCATTACTTTGCTGTGATTTAACCTTTCAATGCACATTATCGAATGTTGAATCAGGAATCGACGCCATAGCACACGAGATACTCCCATAATCCCTTCCTCCCCATCTTCAGCAGCAAGCGAAGGGTTCCAAATCTAATAGATTTGGGTTATTTACACAGACGGTTCAGTGTCAAGAGGCAAAAGAAGTGTTTGGGGTTTCTTAGCAAAAGTTATTGGTCGACGTTGGGTGCAGGAGAGCCTAACATATTTTACCACAACGTCCAGCTTAAGAATGGATGTGAAGGTGGCCACTGCAGCTTTCCACTGGTTAGAGAACACGACACACACACATCTTGTTACTGATTCAAAAAGCATGCTGAGGAAGATCAGGACTCTGCATGGTTCGTGCAGAGTGATATACCTCGCTGCGAAGGACACGGGTAAAGAGTATTGTCTGGATTTTTTTCACCGGGAAACGCCGGTGTGTTGGGAAATAAACAAGCGGACAGATTGACTGGCTCTGCATGACCCCAAAACATATAGAACTGGCCCTAACCCCAACCCACCTACGTCCTACGAGAGAGTGCACCCAAGGTACCATGAATGCCTACAGCCTAGGTTCCAAGATCGCATGCAGCCTATCTATCACACACTGAAATATTAGACTGTCCAGTGACCTGTGGATTTATCCTGTTTTGGGGTTGGATAATAATAAAGCACCCACCTGACTGATGTAGGTGGTACGAGTGCCCTAATTATATACTTCTTTAAAAGTTGAACAGAACATCCGGGATCTGTCTTGTTGGTCTACCATCCAGATTCCATTTTTTTAAAATATAGGGATGGTATTGTAAACGTGTACATAACAGCCTGTATTGGACAGGCGTTTTGACCAACCGCTTCTTCTTCTGCTGTTGCTTCGGTTGCTCCTCCTCTTCTTCCTCGTCCTCTCCACGTTACTTCGTCTCCTTTTCTTCCTCGTATATTTCCCCCTCTTCTCTCTCCGAAACCTCATACTCAACACATCGGGGTTATAACTGAGGTATATAGAGTTCTTTCTTTTCTTTTCTATAATGGATAGTCATACCTATCAATGATGTTTGGTTCTTCAATACTGTATAGCTTGTGTATTACTTGTATAAGACTGTAGGAGTTTGTCAAGTTCAATATATCTTAAAAATACTTTCAAACAATTATAGTAATTATATTCTATAGTCTCTCTTTGCCGATATTTCAAGAGATATAGGAAATCATTATTATGTCTTAAAAGATATTACCATATCATATGCTAACCCGTGTTCTTGTAACGTACTGTTTAATTCAGTCCTTACCTGTAATATTTCATTGTTTAGTTAGTCTTTCTACTTGAGCATAAGGCGACGAATAGGGCAGAGGCCATAGCTCTCCATGGTTGGCGGTTCGTTGCCACCTGTTTTAGGTCTTGGATCTTCATTTAGGACCATGACTGAGCCTTTCCTGACTATGGTTGTTTGCAGGGTCTTTCTTGGTCTTCCACGTTTCTTTTCCCTTCCTGTGTCCATTTGAAAGAGTCTTCTCTTATCCATTCTGAGTGCATGACCTACGTAGTTCCAACGGAGCTTTTTTATGAAATTGGATACATTATCTTGCTTGGCCTCTTGTCTTATTTGTGTTTGGATCTTCTAGTGGAGATTTAGCATTCTTCTGAGACATTTGTTCTCAGATTTCATTGTTTGTGTCCGAATTTAAATTTACTGCGCGAAAACACTTTAAAACAATAAAGCATTCGACAATACTATGGAATACTTACTCTCCCCAGTTGAACTGGGTTGTCGCCCTCACAGGCCGAGGTGTCATTGACGTACTGTGGCCGCAGTTCGGGCAAGGTTTCTAGGCAAAATCCTGCAATTGACGTCACCACAAACAGAAATGACGTCACACCATACATCTGGCGAGAACAAATTTTCTGCATTTTATAATTATTTAAATTAAAAAAAAAAAAAATCAATAATTTATCATATTACAATTACATGCACATGCAAAATTTCAGGAGAGTCGGCACAAAACCAATAATGAACTTTACAGACAGACAAAAAAATCCAATGGTTTGGGCATGTAACAAGATTGGCAGCAGACAGGACACCACAGAGAGCAATGTTATACAGATTCAACGGTAACAGAGCCAGAGGTCGACCACGCAGAACATGGACCGCAGAAATATCAGATATACTGAAGAGTACTTCATAAGCAGCGAACATAAGGACCAGTTTCTCTCTTCTTGCCGTGACGCCACTAGGAATTCCAGGAGTAGTAGGTAAGTAAGTAAATTTTACCTAACCAGGACACCACACAGAGCGATTAACACCCGGTGACACAAAGTGCACCATGCGGATGAGGATCACCCGTGGAGATGTCCCAGAATCCCCGTTCAACCGTTAGGTTATATTAGGGCCCCTGGCAACAACCAAAGTGGGGCTTCAAAATAAATTAAAAAATGCATCCCACAAGGGGGGTAACTTTATTGAGTCAGGAGTAGGGAAAAGAAGAAGAAGATGACACATTTCACAGAACGGGTAGAGTGGAATCGAGGTATGGCATCCGCCTCGAGTGCTGGTGGTCCTGGGTTCACCGTTAACGTTTTCATTCGAAGCCTTCTCGCGTTTATAGACCTATCGGAACTCGATGGGTGATGTAATCAACACCCCAAAGGCCACCTTTATGTCCCAGGACATAACCTGGTTTCCACTGGAAGCTGGACAGACCAAGGAGATGAAGTTAGTTTTTAAAAAAAGGAAATCCACCTTGATTCAGATTCGAACCCTAGACTTTGAGCCTGCAGGCGGGCGTCTAGCTACGACACTAATAGACTTTCGTGAGATCCTACGCTGTATTTTAATTCACTCCGCGTGCCACTGAAAACTGTTCCACTTGCCACAGTTTGCAGGCATGCCATAGACAGCTGAAACATGTCCTAATGGATTAACAGTTTAAAAACATATCTTCTACTTTTCCATTTCCCCGAGTAGGCTTTCATTCACAATAGTTCTTTTCAAACGCTTGTGTTGAAACACACATCAAACGAAATAAGTTTAAAAGGAATTATCCTCTAAGGCCGTGTATTCTAAACTTTTCTTTGTCGCGGCGCCTTGTTTCAATCAAAATTTTTCCAAGGCGCCCTAACCTAAGTATGACTATTCGTATGTATCTTCGTAAAGAGGTCGCGGCTCCTCGGGGCGCCGCGGCGCACAGCTTGGGAATCACTGCTCTAAAGCACATTTCCGCGGGATTAGCGATACAGTTAGCTTCTGGGCTTAATCAAAGAGAAAGGATTCAACAATAAATTCTGGTTGATTAATTATGTAGCGTCAAGCGACTAGGGGTTATAAACGATTCAGAAGTAGAAGTCAACAGATCAGAGCAGATGGTAAGACAATAAAATCAAATGGTTGGACATGTGTCAATTCTACCACAAGACAATACACACGAGAGAGCCCTATCACTTAGAAATAACAGAAGCAGCGATAGAGGATGACCACGTAAATGAATATCCGAGGCCGTAAATGCGAGCACGTATGTAACTCATACCTAGACTCACCTGAGGTCTCTTCAAAATCTGACGATGAAATGCAGAATAGGACGAGGAGGAGGAGAAGAAGAAAAAAGAGAAGAAGAAGAAGAGAAGGAGAAGAAGAAGAAGAAGAAGAAGAAGAAGAAGAAGAAGAAGAAGAAGAAGAAAAAGAAGAAGAAGAAGAAGAAGAAGAAGAAGAAGAAGAAGAAAAAAAAGAAGAAGAAGAAGAAGAAGAAGAAGAAGAAGAAGAAGAAGAAGAAGAAGAAGAAGAAGAAGAAGAGAAGAAGAAGAAGAAGAAGAAGAAGAAGAAGAAGAAGAAGAAGAAGAAGAAGAAGAAGAAGAAGAAAAAAGAAGAAGAAGAAGAAGAAGAAGAAGAGAAGAAAAAGAATTTTAAACAGTTATTCCCGAAAATAAGCCTTTGTGCAGTTTTCTAAGAAAAAATTAATATAACACAACGTTTGATTTTCAGGGAAACATGTTATTATTTTCTTCTCTTCTCACACAAACACATACACCTTTATACTTCTGGCACTATATCCGCGATTATGTTGATCGCAGTTACCTTTAGTCCAAATATATACCTATGTGGCCTTTCAGCGTCGCATGCTTCAATTAGAGAGAGGCATTGATTGATTCAAGACAACAGTGGATTGCGGTTAACAGTAGCCAGGAGACCGGAGATTGAGCCCAATGTTATCTCTCCCAACGGTCTCTTTCTGAGTGATTCTCCCTAAGGGAAGCAGCCTATGGCGCTGCCATTTCAAATTGCTTTACTAGCAAAATAGGCCAGTTTTATACCTATGTTGTTATTGAAGTGCTGTTATCGCTCTTCTAAAACAGGAGAGAGAAAAGGCTTGGAATGTCGCTTTCAACAGACGCGAATATATATTTTTTGAGAAATCGATGAAAATTTTCCAGCTAAGCGGCTACGAGAAAAATGGGAAACCAGCCAGACAAGTAAAATTGATTTAATATTTTAGTATTTTGCTTAAATTTTAATCTTGGAGTTTTATCTAAAATTTATGTTGTTGAACTGATAAAGAAAAATGGGAAATGACCAACCAATAAGGTATAATGTGAAATGACCGATAAAGTATAATAGGACATGATAAACTATAACAGGACATGACTGATAAATTATAATGGGAAATGACTGATAAAGAATAATGCGAAATGATCGATAAAGTATAATAAGAAATGCCTGATGAAGTATAATGGAAAATGATTGATAAAGTATTTTTGGGAAATAATTGATACATGGTAAGGAATAATTAGGACAGAAACAAAACAGTAGATGTAAAAAATATTTGGGTGTGTCTGTGGTCATCTCTAAAGTTCCCCTTTTTATCTTGGTCTGCTTACAACTTTCTTTGGAAAACAGAGCCAAAAAGGGTGCTTTATTAATGTCCTACCCCAAGCAGGGGAAATCCACAGGTCACGGGACAGTCTAATATTTCAGGAGGTGGTAGATAAGCTGCATGCACTCGTGGGACCTAGGCTGCACTCTCTCGTAGGACGTAGGTGTGCTGCGGTTAGGGTCGGTTCTAGATGTTTTGGAGTCATTAAAAGCATCAGAAAGCCGAGAAACCCAGTCTTAGCACCCTCTAAAATGTTGGACTGTTCTATGAGTCATCTGGAGTAAGAAATTAAACCACCCCCCCCCCCCCCCCCCCCCAAAAAAAAAAGAGTCTACACCATGGCATTTGTAGACCGGTTTAACTTTCTTCTTTATTTTTTGGTTTTGTTTCGTTCTCACTGAGAGTAGTTTTCATCTGATTGAAAAGGCCACTGTCCTCTATGGCATCTATTGTAGGACGCATATCTTCCGCAGATCCATATAGCAAGGTTTTCACTGGAATGCCAACCTGGCAACTCTCTACTGCATATGAAGATCACGTCTTTAGCTGATGTTCAGTATTCTGTGGTTCTTGCCAACATGGGCAACGTTCTGAGATCCCAGACTTGAATGTCTTGTACACATGGCTGCAGAGTGTCTTGTGTCCAGTTCGCAATCTAAATATGTAATAATTAGCTTATTTTATGTGGGGAGGCTAAGTGAGTCCTCAGGATTGTATACTGAATAGGAAGTGTTCCACTGGATTCTGATGGATAAGTTGGTTGCGTATCCTTTACAGGACGTTGCAGAACCAACCCCAACAGCATCCCGGCATTACGAAGCGTTCGCTTCGACTTAGCCACAGAACCGACATTCTGATGGATAAGACATTTAAAAAAAAAAAACACACACACACACAATTTGTTGCACTTTGGAGCTAATGTTTATGCAGAAAAAAGTGCTCAGTCTCACGAGAACTGTAGTTGGGTTTCTCTTACAATGCATGTTAGAGTAAACTTTGCTACAACCAGTGCTAGACATGTCTACTCACAACGAACCAGAAAAGAAAACAAGTAAACACAAACATGAGATGTCTCAGAAGGGCTGCAAGCGTCACTAGAAGAGATATAATTAGAAATAATGCTTTGCGAAAAAAAAAAAAATCGGAACAAAACCAATTCTAAATTACATTCAGAGACTGGAAATCAAATGGTTTGTCCACGTTGAGAGAAAGCATTGTGACGCCATACCAAACAAGACATTCATCTAAAGAGGAAAAGGACGTTGAGCACAAAGTAGGAAAAAAAAAAAAAAAAAACAAGATGGAAGAGATCAGAGAAACTCAACAACAGCACGATGTGTCTATAGTAGAGACGGCAAGAACAGCAAGAAGAAAAACCTCACCTCTCCCTCGATACCAAAGCGGTAAAAGAGGAAGTGCAGAATGAATAGTTTCAAAACTATATTTGGCTGAAAAGAGTTAAAAAGAAGATCCCAGTAGAATATTTTGGGCCTCACTAAACAACTTATTCTGCAGCATTCTGAACCTAAGAGGTTCGTTGCTGCAGATAGCGCCTCCCTTCATTATTTTACAGTTGGTAACGCCAACAATACTCAGATAAGACAGGAAACTAAGCAAGATAATGTATTCAAGTTTATACGAAAGCGCCGCTGGAACTACATCAGCTATGCACTCAGAATGGATAAGACAAGACTACCCCATAGAGCCCTCATATGAACAACAGAAGAGGAAAGAAAACGGGAAACACCAAGAAAGACTACGTTGAACCTTATCAGGAACGGCTCAAAATAATACGGACACAAACAATAGATTGTCCAATTTATTGCCCGGCATATTTCGCTGTATTTCGTCAGGAAATATCTACAGAGTTAAAGCAACATATAAAGAAACACAAAAAGAATCTCTTTTTTTGTTGTTGCTGAAATGCACGAATCACATTGTAAACTTATAAATACAATTGGATTTGGTTTACCGAGCTAATGGTTCTTTAACAGATGGAGAAGGAAAGGAACTGGTCTTGTA